CGCTCCGCGGACCCCGCGCAGCCCGCAGAGACGCGCGTGTCGCCCGCACAGAGCCGGCACTCGGTTGTCCCTGCCGGGCCCAGCGTCGCCGGGGACCCAGGACCGCCCCACCCCCACGAGGAGTCTGGAGTCCCGCGGGATCCCCTGGGCGTGGCGTACGGGCTGGGGGCGCCTAGTGGAGCAGGTCTGATGCCCCACGTCCCTGGGCTCTCATTATCAGCAGGCGGCGGCGCAGGCCACACCTGGAGCCCACCACCTGCTCCATTCTTCCTTTCTGGGCAAAGGGGATTTCTGGGGCCAACCTACATCTGGGCCACACCCTAGAGGTTCCGCAACAAGAGACAAGGAGAACTGGGAACCTTCAAACACTGAAGTGCATGTAGTCTGAGCCACCCACACAGACAAGGACCTCTCAAAGCATATTGGTGTGGGGTAGGGGATGTGTCTTTGGGGACCTGGGACCTGGACAGTTCTGAAGGTTCCTATGACTGGGGAGAGAAGGACACTAAAGAAACAGAGAGGAGGTGCTGAGAGATTCGTTTTTGACACCCACAGGAGGCCTGAGGAAGGGAGGGGGTGTCACGGTGGACAAGGCAGGTAACTGATGGGCAGATCTTCAAGCTGAGGACAGACAGCAGGACCAAAGGCCTGGGCCTGAATAAAGCAGTCATGTAGAAGCACCACCTGGAGGCACTGCTTTCTTACACGTTCTTACCCTGACCCCATTTCTGGGGACACCCAGGATCAGACCCACTTTTATCTGTTTTGTTTTGTGTTGTTTATAGGGTTTTTGTTTGTTGGTTGGATTTTTGTTTTTTGTCTTTTGTTGGGAGTCTTACTATGTGGTCCTGGCTGACCTGGAACTTGCTATAAAGATACCCAGGCTGGCCTTGAACTCACAGAGCTCTGCTTCCCACCTCTGCTTCCCACCTCTGCTTCCCTTGCTTTCAGAGAGTATATAGTGTTAGACACTGAAACTACTTGTCCTTAAACTGGGGATAGCTCAACTTCCAGCAGCCTGAAACCTCCACAAATGTTTACTCATCCAGAGAGGGCAGCTGGCTCTTTGACTAGCCTGATCTGAGGGAGGGAGGAAAATGGAATCTATGGGGGGATCCTTTCAGCCTCACCCCCACCCCACTGGAAATGAATTCAAACACCATATTTGAAGGTCTCTGGTTCCAGCAAGAAAAATCCTCCCTCCCCTGGCCCTTAGTACCCCTTGAGTAGGGAAGGGGAGGAGAAAAACGAAATGACCCACTCATGCCTTTTATAAATAGTTCAATGACCCTAGCTAATAGGGCCTCTGTTATACCAACCTGTGGCACTACTGAGGCCTTGCATAGTGTCACTTCTTTTTTTTTTTTTTTGTTTGTTTTTTTAATGTGTATGATTGTTATGCTTGTATGTAAGTGCACCCTTGTCAAACAATGCCTGCGGAGGGCAGAAGAGACCATCACATCCCCTGGACCTGGAGTTATGGACAGTTATTGTTAGCCACCATGTGGATGCTAGAATATGAACCCAGGTCTTCTGCAACAACAGCCAGTGTCAGCTCCAGTGTCACATTTTTTGAAAGGACACTCTTAGGTCCTCAAACCACAGACTTGACCTGACCCTGCTGGCCCCTGCTCATCTTGAGGGCCCATTTATGGACTGCAGGCCTCCAAGACCTAGCCCACTGCTCCTCACCTGGTCCACCTGGCCACAGCCCACTACTGGAACTTTCCATCCCTTCTCTTACTGCTCTGACCTTGATGGAGACCTGTCCTGTTCCAGCCCTTCTGGTGACAGGTCCTATCTCCAAGCCCTGAAACAGATGAGCCCCCCACCCCCACCCCCATAGCTAAGGCAGGCTCCGCCCTCTGGCGGGCATCTAAGGTTTCAGCTGCCTTCTCTGCAGGCTGCCTCATGCCACTGCCTTCTAGGGCCCAGGTGGCTTTAGTGGTTCGGAGAATTGGTCTCCGCAGCACAGATGGTTAACTCCGGCGGGCGGGACGGCTCCATTCGGACATCCGCCATGACCATGGCTGCGAGCTGTATATCCCACGGAGGGCAGTCCCGCAAGCAGAAGCCACACCTCAGCAAGGTGGGTCCTCAGCCTGCCGGCTTAGGGTTTGGGCAGGACAGAGGGTGTGGAACACTGCAGGTGAGGGGGATGAATAGTCCCGAGAAAGCACTGACAAGCTCAGAATGATAGCCCTGGAGCCCCCCCCCCCCGCCAGGCCTTGACTGTTGTTATCACTGTGCGCAGACCTGGGGAACCTCGGGGTGGAGGTAAATGCGCTCAATCTAAACTACTCCTCCCACCCCACCCTCGCCTTCTTCCACATCCTCGCACTCCCAGATGGAGCGGGTTGTCGTGAGTACGCAGGATCCCGACCAGAGCGTGAAGATGAGGAGTCAACGCCTTCTAATCATCGTCATTCCCCACGCGGTGGCCGGTGAGGTTCATGGAGACCCTGAGGGGCGCAGGGCGCTGGGGCCTCCGCCCACTTGGCCCCTCCTGTGCCGGCAGCGACATTGTGGAATGGCTGGTCCAGAAGTTCTGCATCTCGGAGGAGGGTGAGAGTCGGTGCGCCCTGGCCTGGGGCCAGCTGGGGGCTGGCAGAGCCCTCACTCTCGCCCTCCTCAGAAGCCCTGCACCTGGGCACGCTCCTGGCGCAGCACGGCTATATCTACCCACTGCGTGAGCCCCGGGACCTGGCACTCCGGCCGGACGAGACGCCTTACAGGTTCCAGGTCAGGCCCAGGGTAGCAGGGTGCACCTCCAACTGTACCGCACATGGGCGGTGGGGGCCTCTGGGGGGGCGGAGTTTGTTGAGGCTGGAGCGGGATGTGGTGACGTCACTAGACGTCAGCTCGCTTCTCAAAAAGGCCTGGACTGGGGTGTGTCCATGTGGTGGGAAGGATCTAGTTAAGGAGAGGGAGCTTCAACTTTATGGGTCCACAGCAGGACCCCACAAACGTCAAAATGCTCTATCGAGCATTCTGCTGGGGACCTCCAGTTTCCTCTCCTGAAGGAGTCTCTGCTCCGTGTGGTGACAGGATCCCTGCACCTCAGTGTGTGAGTCTAAGACACCCCAAGCTCAGACTGTGACCACATCCTTGAGATTATCAGCCCCACTTCCTCCCAAGCCAGCTGAGGCATCCAGGGTCAGGAGGGTGGCTCCTACAGGGCAGGCTGACTTCAGTTCCAGGTGGAAAGAATGGAACATGCCCAGCTGAACTTCCAGATCGCCCCAAGGCGGGGCGAAGGGGGCGCGCTTCTGACCAGCTGCACTATAGAAGGGATTGGGGGTGGAGGGGCTGAGGAGGTCTTGGACATCCTTCTCCCTGCACAACACAAGACACCCTACTTCTGGACAAGCACCTTGTGGCCAGCCACTAAGCTGAACTATGGTGAATGAGATGGATGGATAGCCAGCCTGGGAACTGGTGGCACCAGGACACCACCATGGGGTTTAGGCAGTGCCAGTCCTTCTGCAATCTGTTCTTGTCCTTCCAGCCATCTACCTGGCCAAGAAGAACATCCACAAACAAGGGGCCCTGCTAGACTATGAGAAGGTGGGCCCCCCAGCAGGTTGAGTCCTTACCCAATATAGCTAGACCTCTAGATAACTCATGCACCCCTGCTCACTCCCTGAAGTCTCACAGGAAAGGCTCCCATACCAGTCTGCAGGGGAAATTTAGGGTGCCCAAGGGGAGGCAGCTGCTGTGTAGTACCCCAAGGGGTGAACTGGCCTCTGTCCAGGTGAGGAGATACACACACACACACACACACACACACACACACACACACATCACACACTCTCTCAAAAACAGACTGGGCGAGCTGGGCCTTTGTCTCTGTCCAGGTGAGGAGATACACACACACACACACACACACACACACACACACACACATCACTCATTCCCTGAAGTAGACCCTGGGAGCTAGGAGTCCTTGTCTTAGAACTGGGCCTGCAAGGGGGTCACTCACTGGAGACCTTGCTGTCCCCCAGGAGCATTATGCCCAGCTGCACAAGAAGATCAAACATGCATGGGATTTAGTAGTGAAGCAGGCTTGAGAGCAGCTGCAGTAAGACACCTGGCCCCACCACACCCAGTGGGGCACTGAGTGTAGAATGCTCAGGATGCCCTGCTGGGTGCCTGCAGCTCTAGGACTAAGGAAAGCACATTATAGACTCTGCTGCCTGCAAAAGCCATGGTCTGAGTGCAGAGTACTGTAGTGGGCCCAGCATCCTTGAACCTCTACTTATCCCTCCCAGGGCTGCTAAGCAGCACCAGAAGAGAGACAGACTGGTCATTTCGTGTCAGGAGCATACATACTGGCTGGTGAATAGGCCCCTAGTGAGTCCCTCAGGTGGTGAGGGAGGAGTTTCCCTGGTCATCAGCAGGGATCTGCTATTTCCCTGAAAAGCTCTCTTAGAACTGCCTACTTAAGCTGTGGGAAAGCATGCATTTCACGGTCTGGGTGGGTGACAAGAAATTTGTTCTCAGTTGAGAATGTAGAGGTGGCACGGCCAGGTTTGAGGTTGCCTCCCCTCCCAGTCCACAGCACCAGCCAGCCTCACTCTGGGTCTAAGGGAGACACACAAGAGCCAGTGTAGGGCTGAAAGTCCTAGCAGAGGGCAAGGTGGGGTCCAGGCTCAGCTGCTTCAGAGGATTGGGTTTGGGAGGCTAGTGCCTTAGCAACTGAGGTCCTAGCACATGGTTTGCAATCTATTTACTATCTGAGGGGTCCACCCAGAGTGAGTGTGGGCAGTGACGGGGTTCAGGGCCAGGTCAAGACTCAGAGTTTCTGAGGTCCTTGTGATGGCAGATTCTACATCAAAGGGCAAAGGGTACTGGGGTCTATGGGATAGGGATTTAGCACTCCCATCTCATCATCCTTCTGTAGCCTGGGGTCCCTAATATTCTGGAGCTAGGTCCTGAGAGAGGATCTTGCAGCTCTAGTTGAGTGCAGATGGTGAGCCACCCCAAATCTTATACTGTTTTAACCCTGACCCTCCCACTCAACCCACAGTGGAACTGCTTATCCATCTAGACGCACCTGATGCAACCACTCCAAGGTCTCTGTTCCCTTCCTGGTCTCAGCCCCCCTTGCTCCTCACCCTCAAGCCCTCACTAACTCTTGTCCTCTCCTCTCCCACCTGCTGCCCTGGGTGCAAGTAAATTGAGTGGTCTCAGAGGACTGCGGGGGGGGGGGCTCCTTCTCCAGGCTGGGACAGCATCAGTTCCCAGGGAAATGGAGTAATGACAAGCAGGGCTAGGCCTGGGGGATCTGGGCCACAGGCACCTCCCTCCAAAGCCTCTGGTAATCTTGAGACCAGAGAAAGTGACAGCCAGGATAAACTGGCCCTATTATGCAGCAGCAGGTAGCAGAGCCATTTATTCACATCAGCCCCCACCTAAACCCTAATTCTAGAACAGATCCTGTTGTCTCTCTGGTTGAGTGGCTTGCTAACTTCAGCCCCGCTTTTTACATATAAAAGCAGTCAGCTGAAGTCAGAGGCAACCTCCACTTCTGCTCCTTGCCCAGTGGGATTGAGTTAGGAGCCAGTCTCCTGGACAGCTCCTGCAGCCCAGCCATGAGGAGTTACCTGGAGTTGTGAGACTCAGTTAAACCGGGATCCCAAAGATTTCTCAATATACATATTGTTTTTATAAAAGATATTTTAAATGTGAAGTATGGTGGTGTCTTAGTTTGTTCTTCATTGACCAATGACCAATGACACTCTGACCAATACCAACTTGGGGAAGAAAGGGTTTATTTGTCTTAGATCTCCCAGGTTGCACACAGTTCATCAGGGAGCCCAAGGCAGGAACTCAGGGCAGGAACCTGGAGGCAGGAGCTGGAGCACAGGTCATGGAGGAACGCTGCTTACAGGCTTGCTCTCCTGGCCTTTACTCAGCCTTTCTTACGCAACACAGGCCCACAAGAAGATGCCCCTCAGACATGGCCACAGGCCAGTCCAATAGAGGCAATTTCCCAACTGAGGCTCCCTCAACCCAGGTGTGTCAAGTTGACACGAAAGCTATCCAGCACAGGTGGTAAACACTTATAATCTAGCACTTGGGAGGTGAAAGCAGAAATTCTATACAGAATTTTAAGGCCAACCTCAGCTACCTAGTGAGATCAGCATGAACCAAATAAGACTTTTGTCTCAAAAACAACAAAAAATACTTTAAATCATCTGAAAACATAACAGGTTAACCACAAGTGGAGAACTTCAGGACAATCTGGAGAACCTATGGGTTTTGTTGAACATTTGGTCACCAGATTAAAGGCTGTCAGAAGTCTCCTAGGGTTAGGAGGGGGCTCCAAGAGCTGTGGCCGGGGATCTGAGTCATTCTCTATCACATGGTAGAGCAAGGTCTCAGCTCTCTAGTTGGTAATATGGGGGGGGACTTCTGACCCTCAGAAGACCCTCCTTGTAACTGATGCCACCTGTGTTCTTTCAGACCTAGAGCTCAGATTTCTGTAAATATGAGGTAAATCCTAAAGGTTTGGAGGGTGGAGCTGCCCCCAACCCCCGTCCCAACTCACCTCTGATGTTCTAGATTGAGTACTCCAGGAAGGCGCTGGACAGGAACCGGGTGAAGTCCTCTATGTGCCTTGAGGCATGAGTGAGGGGCAGCAAGATTCTTCCCCCAGCCCAGACCCTTTTTGGAGCCTCTAATCCCTGAGGCCACTCTGCACTGTCCCCTGGAACCCCCAGATACTTTTAAGTTCAGCAGCCAGCATGGCCCACGTGATCCCATCATGTCAGGGTGCCTGCCCAGCAACCCCTGGATCACAGACGATGTGGCCTACTGGGCCATGAATGTGCCCACGTGAGCCCTGGGTGTACAGGCATTGTATGGTGCTCCTGCCCTGGTAGCTGGTAGGGTCAGCAGCCCACTCTCCTGCCTCCATTTCTCCCCTCCCAGAGTGGCTGCACCTACAAAGCTCCGGGTGGAGCAATGGAGCTTCACCCTCCGGGAACTCCTGGATGACCCCATGGGGCATACCCATTTCATGGACTTTCTCCAAAAGTTCAGTGGTGAGAAGCCTACCTTCCTGCTTCAGGCCCAAGGGAAGGAGGCCACTGCCTGGACCCCATCCCCAGGTTTATATTAGCCTGCTCAGTGGGAGCCCTCCACCCTGACTACTGCCCTGCCCTCAGCGGAAAACCTCAGCTTCTGGGAGGCATGTGAGGAGCTGCGCTTTGGCAGACAGGCCCAGGTCCCTGCCCTCGTGGACGCTGTGTACCAGTATGTGGGGGTGGGCGCAGGTTGACCATCACTCAGGCCCCGCCCATGCCTACTCAGTGCCTTTCCCTCCTCAGGTAGTTCTTGGTCCCTGGAGCTGCCCACTGGATCAACACCTTTCCTTCCTCAGGCAGTTCCTGGCCCCTGGAGCTGCCCACTGGATCAACATCCACAGCAGACCAATGGAGTGCACCCTGGAGAGCCTGCGCCAGCCACACCGCTATGTCATGGATGCAGCTCAGCTGCACATCTACATGCTCATGAAGGAGGTAGGTACAGCTTCAGTGTCCCTATCAGCTCTTCACACAGCCATTTGTGCTGCTGCTTTTCTTCAAGAATACTTCAAAGGTGTTCCTCCTGAGGAGCTGAGCACCGCCTCAGCCAGTCGCCCTGAGTCGGTAGACCAGAATGTGTTCAGGGTCCCCACACTGCCTCCTGTATGTCCTGCCCTGCCCCCACTCTGTGCACCCTTTAGTCATCTAGTGGTATAGTCAAAGGGGGACTGCTGACCCTACTGATGAGTTTTAAAACTTCATATCTGTTCAGGGTGGCTAGTGGCTTGTCTGAGACAGGCTCTCATTCTATAGTCCCTCACTAGGTAGTCCAGGCTTGACTTGTGGATGATTCTTCTGCCTCAGTCTCCTAATAAATTCATAGATTTCAAATCTGATAGTTTGTCATAGTCATCTGTATCTCATTATGATCCTCAGCCTTGACTTGTGAGTCAATCCTCTCGCTTTAGCTTCTCAAGTAGCTACAGGCCCAAGTTGACATACTGGTCTTGTTAGCAATGGCCACTCCTCGGTGACCTCCTGCTCTCCTGGTATGGTTTGTCTAGGCTTGTCCTACCCATACCTGGACTCCACCTTCCTACAGTACCTGGCACTTTTCAGGATGATTATTTATAGTCTTACGTAGCTCAGGCTACGTTCATAATCCATGAACTTACGATCCTTCTCCCTGTGCTGCCCAATGCTGGAACCATCAAGCCTGGTTTTACTGTGCAGTTACAATTGCATATCCTTGCCTTTCTTCAATAGTGGAGGTCCTCTGGCTACTTATTCCTGGATGGAGGTACCTGATTCACCCTTCTATGCATAAACACTGTCTCTTGCCCATCTTTTGTAATCTGGTGGCTCCACTAGATAGGTGCCAGGTCTCACTAGGTCTTGGTTTGGGCAGGTCCTTGGATAGCTTCCCCCCACCCCCAGCATCCAGTCCCTCAAGGCCTGTGAACAGGAGGTGGCCCCAGCAACACCTGGCTGGACCTGGCGAAGCAGTAAAGGGGAGGGTCACAAATGGGACTTTGTCTCTTGCAGGACTCCTACCCAAGGTTCCTGAAGTCTGACTTGTACAAGGACCTGCTGGCAGAGGCTGTGATCCCATTAGAGACCAAGCATCGGTGAGCCTGGCCAATGTCCTGCATCCACTGAGCAGGGAGGGCCCTGCAGGGAGAAGACAGGGTCCTTGGTCACATGCCTGAGCATATTCTTGTCCCCAGGGCATTCCCAGTCTTGCAGAAGCCTCTGCACTCAAGCCCCAGCCCAGCTCTCCAACCTGCACCTGAGGAACCTGCAGGTGGTGATGGGGAAGACTAGATGGATGCACCCTCCTGTCTGACATCCTGTAGGGTCATGTTCTCACAGATGCTGGGCCCCACCACTGGTATCCCCATGTCTAGAGAGCCCAGCTTTGCTATGGGGCCCTTGAACCTCATCACATAAGCCCTCCCACCCCCTTTGTAGAAGGGACTGGCCCAGATTCCTAGGGGAGATATTTCACTGGCAAGTCTGATGGGGACAGGACCCATTCTTAGAAGTTGAAATCAAGGCCCCGCAGAGCTCCTGGAATTCTGTGGTCTTCAGTTCAGGTCTAGGCAACCATCTCATTTCCAGAATTTTAAATCAGTGTCACAGGCACTTGCCACATGAAGTGCCACTGGTCTCTGGACATGCCATCCAATCCAGGAGAGCTCTAACATCACACTGTGTGACTCTAATTCTGCTGAGGCTATACCCAATGGCTTCTGAGTAGACTATGTCGGCAGGTACCACATTCATCTGCTGCATGTAACATCTTTTCCATTGGCGCACTGTCTTCTCTATTGGATCTGTATGAAGTTGACTCTGTGCTGTTACCCTGTGAGACTCCCAATGCCCTTGAGGCAAGTCTTTCTCAAGGTGGCAGAGATGGATCCAGTCTTCCTGTCCATGCTGACCTCTTTACCACTAGTACTCTTCTCCCTATTCCCTGACTTAGGATGAAGGATGCTAGCTCCTTTTGCCATTGCAGCCCACCCACAGGGCTGTTCTCCATCCTCTCCCTACTTACTTCTGTAAAAATAAGACTTAGGCCTGGGCCAGCGTGGTGGCGCACGCCTTTAATCCCAGCACTCGGGAGACAGAGGCAGGTGGATCTCTGTAAGTTCAAGGCCAGTTTGGTCTACATAGTGAGTTCCAGGACAGCTGGGGCTATAGGGAAACCCTGTCTCAGAAAGACCAAAGGGAAAAAAAAAAAAAAAAAAAAAGACAAGTCTTGCTTAGTCCATCAATCCTGCTGTGGGTTCAGCTTTGGGCCTGTGTGGTATGTGGTCCAGGTTCATGGCTTGAGTACCTGTGATACAATGCAAGTTGTGGATGGCATGTGGTGAGTGGCATGAATGTGTAGTATAAGGTGTATGTGAAAAGGCTGGGAGGGAAAGGTTAAGGGTGTGGTCCTGGTAGAAAGTGGCTGCTATGGAGCTGGTGAGATGCTTCAGTGAGTAAAGGCACTTGCTGCCAAGCTTGATAACCCACCCCCATTCAATCCCCAGGACTCACAAGGAGAGAACTGACTCCCACAAGTTGTCCTCTGACCTCCATGTGTCCCCTCAAATAAATGTAATTTTAAAAAAAAGGCTACTGTGGAGGGTGCCTGTCTGGGTTGATGAGTGACCCAGTCCTCCCAGGCTTCAAGCTAGCCTCAGTCTGCAGAGCTGAAGAACTTGGTCTTTGGGGAGACAGAGGGGTATCATGGTGATCAGGAGTGTGCTAGTGCAGCAGAGCCAGGAACCTGTCAAGGAAGCTAGGCATGGAGGGGCTCCTGCCATCTGCCCAGTGTCCCCTAGGGGCCAGTTGTACCCAGCTGCTCCTTAGCCCCAACAGTTGCAGGGGGCAGGGCCCAGACCCAGCCCGAGGACCCTAAGAGACCATGGGCAGGCTGGATGGAAACTGCCTGGGCCTCTTAATGACCATAAACAGATCCCTATCCCTCAGCAACCAGTAGGAGACTTGCAGAGTGGAGGCAACCCAGGCTGGCCCCTGGAGTTGTGGCTGCCCTTGGGCTCTGCACTCCATCCTGTGCAGTGGAGCTCCAGGCTCTTACAGCCCAACCCCATCTTCCCATAGTGTTTCATGTGTGCTGGGTTACCTTTAGTTCTCAGGGATAAGGGACCCACTTCCTGCCATGAAAACACTCACCCATTCAATCGCAGCCTCTGTATTGATACCCAGGCATTTGTATATGTGCAGTAATGAAGGTAAGCTTATATTTAGTCTCTACAGTAAACTCCAAAGGGTTATCAGAAGGACTCGCACTCACTCTCAGGCCAAGCCCTGAAGCCCTTGCAAGTCAAGTCCTCCTGCACGGTGACAGCTAGAGCTCACCTGACTCTCCATTTTGCTACATGTCATCCATCAAAGAACATGATGCTGATGGCTGAGTGCCCATCCTGGGGACCACCCTGGAGGCTGTACAAAGATGAAAGCCTATTCCTATCAGGCAGGTCTGTGTCTGGCTCTCACCTCCTCAACTGCTCTCCTAACCTTGATCCAGATACTTGGCCAACAATTCCTGCTCACCACTGCAGAATAAACTCCCTCTGTTTGTTGGGGGCAGAGAGCCAGATAGACTACAGGTTCATGCTGGGCTACTGGGGCTGTCCCCACCAGTGAAAATCATTTATTCTGTTGTTTTCCATGGTGGCTGGGGTCACGGGACTGCTTTGGCTATAGAGCTATAGGGCTCTAGTCTGGGCAGGGCTGCTGTGTTGCCCTTGGGCTTCAGGAGCAACAAGGCACAAAGTGAGACCTGCATCAGGTGAGCACCAGAGAGCAGGGAAAGGGAAGTGTCTGCCATGCCTAAGGGTGCAGGGACCTCTGGGTGACAGCAGGTCCAGTGTACTGACAGGCAGAGACTGACTAAACATGTATCCTGTGTATCCCCCAAGTGCACCCACTGCAGCAAAGGCTCCAGTGCAGGCCTCTTTCTGCCTGGACAGAGTTGTTGCTCACCTTCCAGCAGATGTGCTTCCCTTCTGCTCTGGGAAGGGGGCTACAGAGCCTCAGGTTCCAGCTGCAGCATGAGGTTGCCCCAGGGTCTACCAGTTTCTGAGCTCCCTGACTCCTAAGGGACAGTGTAGACAAGGGAAGAGCCAGGCAGGGAGGGAGGAACATCACAGGGGCCTGGGACCAGCAAGTCCCACATTAGTAGCTTCTCCAGTTGGGGGAGCTAGCTGGTAAGGAGGCACTAAGCAATGGAACCTCCTGCAGGGCTGAGCTGTGCACAAGCTGGCTCAAGGAGACCACAGGGAGGCCTTCCAGCCTTGACCAGACCCCACAGATCATACAGTAAGACCACATGAAGGCTTAGGAGGGCACAGTGTGCTAGGCAGGAGGCTGAGGGTACCTTCCCCATGTCCATGGATATAACTGGTAAGGCCATAGCTTCCAGAGGGACAGAATCACCAGGGTAAAGAGGGGGCTCAACATGGAGGCTGAGGGCAGGCTGATTTCCCAAGAGGCTTTGTTTTCACAGTTGGGAGTCTCTCCAGGTGCTCCAGCTGACACCATCTATACCTCAACTTCGGTACCGTAGTCGGGAGAACCGGTCCCTGATAGCCTGGTCACTGTCTGAGCTGCCTTCGCCCAAGTGGACCACTCTGCTGTCCAGGACAAGGTCTCGCACCTTGTGTTTGGTCACAGACACTAGGCCGGGCACATCTGAGCTTGCTGGGCCTGTCAGGAGCACATAGGCAGCATGGCGGCTTGGCTCAAACAGGATCACTGTGGGGGACAGTATGTCAGTGCTACTCAAGACCAGTCAAAGTAAAATTAAGGTGGGGAAGACCCAGGCCCAAGGCCTGAGGCCATACTCACCATCAAAGGCCACGATGTTGGCAGACACGTTGGCTAGCTCCAGCAGGATGCCAGGCAGGGTGGGGTGGAACATGTACAGACTGTGCTGCACATCTCGGGGTTCCTGCCATGAGAAGAGCAATGGGCCTCACACTTTTGCTGTGCTTGGGCCCTAGACACATCTGAGTGGGCCCTGGGACTTTGCCACCATCCTGGGCAGTTCTCAGGTCACCTTCAGAAGCTGCTGTCTGAGTAACTGCCTAGAGCTGTGTCCATCACATTTCCCCAGGTGGCTAACTCCTACCTGTACCTGGTCCTTCTCAGTGTCCATCAGCACCTGCCTTCCCTACCAAAGGTCTGCCACCACCTCCCAGATTCCACTCCTGCTGGCACCTCAGGACATTTTCCCCTTAGTCTACACACCCCAAGACCAGCTCTTCACTCAGTGGCCCAGCCCCTGGCAGCCTCTTGGGGGTGTAAGCCTGGTATCTCTGCCCTGGTTCCCAACAAGGAGTGTTCCCTGAGCAGGTTTTCCCATACCATCTCATTGGTGCTGACCAGCTCATGGAGGCCCCAGAAGAAGAAGGCTGAGCGGTGGTCTGCAGTAGGCAAGCTGGTGGATGATGGGCTCCCAGGAAGGCTTGGGAGGGGCTGATTCCATAGCACAGCTCCAGTGCTGAGGTCCAGAAGAAGGATCTGGGGTGGGAGGGGACACTATTAGTGGACAGCCTCAGCCCACACAGGAATGCATACCTCCCAGCCATACCAGCTCCAAAGGCTGCTGCTCTCTGAACCATCTCCCCATCTGAGGGCAACAGTCTGCTTTTACAGTTTGTTCTAATCTGTGGACAAGGTGGGACCCCTTAGAGGATACACAGCCCACCTGTCTATCAGTGCTGGTTCCATTTTCGATGACCACAGCCAAGGTGTCAGGTTTGTAGTGGCCAAGGAAGGGTTTTCTGGGAGGAGTAAGGAAGAAAGGCTCATAGAGGGTGTCTGAAGGGGGTATAAATGAAGGAAATACCCAGTCCCCATGGCTGCATATTCCTTGACTGGAGCTAATGCCTGTGACCAGCAGTTTCAGCAGCCCCTCCAGGGATAAAGGGTAGCACCAAGGACAGGCAGGGGACAGTCAGCCCATAGGCCCCCAGAGAACCAGGCCCCTAGAGCCCATAGCCCATCCTCCCCGCCAGCCAGCAGGACCAGCTGGGGTACTGAGAAGGGGTACATTCACTCCAGCTCAGCAGGAATTGCACATACCTCAAGATCTGAGTTGCACCAAGGGTCCATTTGGGAGTCAGATCCTGCCCATCCAACAATGTACAGGTGTCTGAGCTCACGAGGAGCACATCCTCACCAGCTTTCCCTGGGACATTCATCAGGTAGCGAACTGCTCCAGAGCTAAACAAGGAGAGTGAAAGGAAGAACATGGGGTCTTTGAGCAGCAGGTTTGCTAGGAGCTGCTTCCCTCAGGTCCTCACAGCACAACCTCATGTTTCTCAATCCCCCAGCTTGAAAATATAAATGTGACACTGTTTGTAGAATAAGGATAAGCTCCTAGCAGAATATTTTCCTCAGTTCTAGTACTGGGGGATGGAACCCCGGGACTCAAACATGCTGGGCAAGCACGCTATCACAGAGCCGCACCCTCAGCATTCTACTCAGTTCTTAATCTGCTTTTCCTTGCCCATTTCTAATGTTGGAAGACAAGATAGCCTCACAGTACAGCAAGGCCCCAGCACCGTCAGTCTGCTTGGCTGTCCTGTGCTCCACACAGATCACCTTGACTGAAGTCTGATGCCTATGTCAGACCAACCTCTGCAGATGGAGATTAGAGCATATTCCGTAGGTAGAGGTGTTGAATATGTTCTCCCAGAAGGAGTCTTTCTTAAACGGGCCATCTTTCCCAGTCATCTTCTCATAGAGAACCTTCACAGAGCAGCTGCAGAGGGAACTTGCTATTCAAAACACAGAGAGGACAGATGTGGTGGTATAGGCCTTGATTAAAGCACTCAGGAGGCAGAGGAAGGTGGATTTCTGTGAGACTGAGGTCAGCCTGATCTACAGAGCAAGTTCTAGGCCAGCTAGGGCTACGGAGAAAACAAACAAACAAAAGACCCAAAACAAAACCACGAAAGGGCACAGTCACTCACTGGGTATGGTAGCACAAGCCTTTAATTCCAACACTCCACTTGGGAGGCAGAGGCAGGCAGATCTCTGTGAGTTCAAGGCTACCCTGGTCTATATAGAAAGTTCCAGGTCAGCTGGTCTCACATGATCACATATGTGAGACCAGGTGCATCCATCAGCCCCTCTTCCAGAATCATGTGATGCCACACCCAGTCTAGCCTTGGGCTTCCTGACCATCATTGATTAGCTGGCCTCTTAACAACAGGAGCAGGAGCAGCCAGTAAAGGGGCCAGTCTCCAATTTCCCTGTACGCTGCTTTCTCTAGACTGGAGCCCAATATTACAAGGAATACCTGGGGAGGGAATCTGATCCCAGGAATGTGGTAGACAACATACCGCCGCAGGGTAGGAGAATGTAGTGAGCACCTATCCTGGTGACATGGAGGAGGGCACCACTGTCTCCGTCCACACCAAGGCTGCCTCTGTGGCCAATCTGCTGCCCAGTGCTCCCTGAATAGATGGCCCCTCTGACCTGCAGTGACAAAGGGCAGCAGGGGAGAGACAGACCTGGATCCATCGAAGGGAGAGGGGAATTTCAGGGAGTTGCAAAGGAGATGGTCAACACTTTCTTGGTTTGGGGGAAAGAGAACTTTGAGTGATTGATAGAGAGCATGTTGCACAAGGGCTGCCCTGAGAGACAGGGCAGCTCACTGCCAACCCCACCACCACAGACATGGGCCTTGTGCACTGTGCCACTCCTGGGAAAGGCCAGAAAGCTGCCTGTAGAGATGGAGCCATCTCAGCATACTGTGTGTGTGGACCTCAGGAACATAGGGCCCTGGGAGAATTCACTGATGGGTGGTCACATGTAAATTCTTTCTGGGTAGAAGTGGATAAGAAAGGAAAAGAAAGGGGTGTAAGATAAGTGGTCCTGGGGGACTTGAAGAGAGCTGTGTTGATCACCTCCTTTCCCTCCCGGGTGAGGATCAATAGGTCTGAAGCACCATCACCATCAATGTCAGGCACTTGGAGCAGAGGGCTCAAGATGGAGGCATTCTCACCAAAGCTGTTGGAGTGGCTCCACAGGGTTTCTCCTAAAATCAAGCACACAATGGCTGCAAATTCCCTTCTTAGCAAATGCTTGGCAGACTTACACAGGGGTATCCATCCTCTGCACCCTAAAGCCTGACACACAGTTTAGACACAGGAATGTGTGCAAGCAGACCTGGAAATCCTTGTTGAAGAAGAACAAACACACAACACTTCCAGCTAAAAAGACACTAGATAGCTCATGAGAAACAGCCAGGCATGGTGGTTCATGCCTATAATCTCAGCATATAGAAGGCTGAGAAAGGATTACTGCAAGTTGAAGGCCAGCCTAGATCACACTGAGTTCCAGGTCAGCCTGGGCTACTTAGTGAGACTTTATAAAACAAAAAGTGGTGGGAGAGATGGCTCACTGGTTAATGCCCCTGCTGCAACTTCCAGCTTCAGAAGGCAGAGACAGGGGATCTCCAAAGCAAGCTGTCTAGCAAGGCTAACCATATCTCAGCAAGCATATGCCTGGGACCATGTGGGACTGGCTGTAAGACCATGCCTCAATGCATAAGGTGGAAATGATCAAGGATGAGTCCTGACATCAGCTTAGGGTCTCTACATGCACCCATGCACTCACACATATGCAAACACACCCATATACAGGTGTACCCAGACACACACGCACATGCACAAACATAAAAAGGAGAAAAGAAGATATCCCAGGTCCTGAGCTCTTCAACAACCCTGGCTAATAAGACCCTGTGTCATTAACTCCAGGCTTGAAGCCCACAGGTCTGTTGCCTCTGCTGGGACCTAGGAAGGAGCATACTCAGAGCAGGATGAACATGTCCCCCAGACAAGATCCCATTCACAACCTTATTTTGTTTTTATATGTATATAGGTGCATTTGTAGTGTACATGTGTGGGGAATGTGCACGTGTGTGGAGGCCAGAGGCAGGCATTGGGTGTCTTCTTCAATCATTCTCCACCTTATTTATTTATTTATTTTGAGACAAGTTCTCCCTGTAGCCCCAGCTGGCCTAAAACTTACTATATAAACCAGGCTGGCCTCAAATTCACAGAGATCCCCCGTCTCTCTCTCTTGAGTGCTGAGATTAAAATTGTGTGCCACTACACCTGGCCTCATCTCATCTTTTAAGACAGGGTCTCTCCCTGAGCCCAGAGCTAACTGATTGGCTAGGCTGGTGATCCAGCAAACTCTGGGGATCAATCTATGCTACAGTTACAGATGCCTGTGACTACATCTACTTTTTTTATACGGGTGTTGGGTTCTAAACTCAGATCTTCATGCTTACTGAGCAGGCACTTTACCAACTAGGTCATCTCTGTGTGTATATGTGTGTGTGTGTCCCCATGTCCATGCACATGCCACAATGTACATGTGGTGGCCAAAGGACAACTTCAAGTTGAGTCTCTCCTTTTATCATATGAGTCCTGGGAACTGAACTCAGGTCTTTAGGTTTGGCAGCAAGCACTCTACGTACCAAGCCATCTTGCTGCTCCCTCTAACTCCCTCCCTTTTATTATTATTATTTTTTGAGATAGGGTCTCACTATGTAGCCCTGGTTTGCCCGGCACTCACTATGTAGTCCAGGCTGGCTTCAAACTCACAGGTGCATCACCACATGTCTCCCCACATACCACTTTTTTTTTTTTGTTTGTTTTGTTTTCAGACAGGGTCTCCCTGAGCAGCCCCACATACCACACACACTTTAAAAAAAAAATTTTTATTTTTATTTTATGTGTATGAGTGTGGCACACCCCCTACACACACCTTTTTAAAAAGATGATTCCAGCCAGGCGTGGTGGCGCATGCCTTTAATCCCAGCACTTGGGAGGCAGAGGCAGGTGGATCTTTGTAAGTTTGAGGCCAGCCTAGTCTACATAGTGAGTTCTAGAACAGCTGGTGCTACAGGGAGACCCTGTCTCAAAAAGACAAATAATAAATAAATAAACAAACAAACAAATAAATAGATGATTCCTTGGGGCTGGAGAGACAGCTCAGTGGTTAAGAGCACTGACTGCTCTTGCAGAGGACCTGGGTTCAATTCCCAGCACCCACATGGCAGCTACAAATCGTCTTTAACTCCAGTTCCAGGGGAATCTGAAGCCCTCTTCTGATCTCTGCAGCAATGTAGGACACAGGTGCACTCATATACATGCAGGCAATACACTCATACACATAAAATAAAAATAATAAAATTAAAAAAAAAGATGATTACTTGATTTTTTTTTTAAGGCCCTGAGTTCTATTCTTAGCACCATAAAAAGCCAAGCTAAGCAAAACAAAAACTTTATAACTTCTAAGGGAAATACCAAGGCCATCAAGTCTATGCCTGGAATGACTATGGCCATGGCCAGGTGCCAGGGGTCATACCCAAGTCACTGCACCACTGTGCCTTTCTTCCTCTGGCCTTCACTCCTGGACTGTTATGTTAAGGCTCAAAGATTTGTTCCAAGAGTACAGGAGCACCAACAGGCTCAGGCCAGCTCTCCAAGCCACCAGAAGCCAAGCCCATCCACCTGATACCTGCTACCCCCTATGGTAGGGGACTCTGGTTGTCTCTGCTAGCACCCACAGCAATAAGCTAACTATAGGTGACAAGACACAACTACAACATGGCAGAGAAGAAGAAAGAAGTGACATATGTGTCTTCCAAATGGCTGCACCCCCTGGAAGAGTCTCATCCAGTCAGCAACTCCCAATGGGGAGCCAGGGCTGACCCCACCACAGTGAAAACTCCCATCAAGAACCTTCACCAAGTGGCCTACCTGTGAATGAGTTGACAGCGATGAAAGAGCCCAGTCTTCCCACCAGGATGCAGGCAGAAGTCTCACTGTCTGAGTGTGGCATGGCGCACTCCACAAGGGCCACATCTTGGGCCACAGGCCTTTCCCAGAGCACACTGCCATTGGCCCCTGACACAGCAGCCACAAAGGCACAAGGAGTAGAAAAGCCTGGAGGGCAGAGGTGGCAGCTGCCTGGTCAGGCAGGGTCAGCTTGTATTCTGTCACTTCATCTTCCTCACTCTGTACCTCAGCCACATGACTGTGCCCATTTCCTTCATTATTCCCACAGCCCTGAGTTTCATGGGGCTCTGGTGCTGGCATCAGGTTGGGTAAGGGAGCTGAGCATATTACCTAGCCTACTCCTAGTCTTACTACAAAGGAGGAATGATGGGATGGTTCCTTGAATATCATGCATATTCCCCAAGTGAGAGAGTAAGCCAGCAAAGATCCCTCTTCCCATGGGTGTTTCACCTTCTTCAGATAAAATGGGAATTACCTTCATCAGCACAGGATCTGGTGTAATTATTACTGTTGTAGGTATTTTTATAAAGAAAGAGAACATCTTGGATCCTGTCCTTGTTGACGTCTTCCATGGCCAGAAAGTCATAGGTGACTGGAAAAGAAATTTACAGACTATGCTCCATGGGCCATACCTGTCTATGGGAAGGTCAAATCTAATTCCACTCACTTCTCTGCTCTGTAGGGTATGGTGCTCCCATTGTGAAATTTGCCACTGTGAGTTTCTCAATAAAAGCAGTCTTCCTCACCAGGACAAGCAATTTCTCCAGAAACAGCAATCCTTTTGAGTTTTTGAGATATGAGTATAGCTATGCATCCCAGACTAGCCTCAATCCTCCTGCCACACCCTCCTGAGTATACTCTCAGGTGTTAACTTTCAGAAGGACAAGCAAGCCATCCAAGTGTTACAAACAGGTCCTCTTGTTGGTTATGGTGATTCACACTCATATCCCAGCACTCAGGAGGATAAGGCAAGAGGATTGTTGTAAGTTCACAGTTAGCCTGGACTACACACAGAGTTCCAGTTCAGCCTGGGATAAAGTAAGATTCCCCATCTCAAAAAACAAAAAACTGGGTGGCTGAAGAAATGCCTCAGAGGTTAAGAGTGCTGGCTGCTCTTTCAGAGGACCTGGGTTCAATTCCCAGCACCCACTTGGCGGCTAACAACTGTCTGTAGCTCCAGTTCCAGGGGATCTGTCACCCTCTTCTGACCTCCATGGGCATTGCATGACATGAGTGCACTTACATATACGCAGGCAATACACTCACACACACAAAATAAAAATAATAAAATATATTCAAAAAACTGAACAGGTTTTCAGGAAAGTATCCTCCTAGACCAGCATGGGATTCAGAGAGCCATACTCCATCCTTGTAAAACATTCTACTTCTTTTCATGCAAGGACTCAAATGATAAACTCTATGCCTTAAAATCAAGAGGATGAAATGTTCCTAAAAAAATTCAAAATGGATCAGAGTCCTAAACAAAACTATAAAAAAGGTTGGAAGAAAACAGGGAGAGAAAAATCTTCATAGCATTTGATATGATATTCAAAGTATAGATGACAAAAGAAAAAGTATAAACTAGATTTTTTGGGGGGGGTGGGGAGAGAAAAATATAAAGTAGATTTTTTTTTTTTTTTTTTTTTTTTGTGATGAAAAGTTAGCTTTTTTTAAATTTTGTTTTCTGGGCTTTTTGAGACAGGGTCTCCCTGTAGCCCCAGCTGTCCTGGATTCACTATGGAGACCAGGCTGGCCTTGAACTCACAGAGATCCACCTGCCTCTGCCTCCCGAGTGCTGGGATTAAAAGCATGCACCACCACGCCCAGTGAAAAGTTAGTTTTAGCTTAAAAAAAAAATGCCTTTAATCCTAGTACTCAGGAGGCAGAGGCAGGCGGATCTCTATGAGTTCAAGGCCAGGCTGGTCTACAAAGTGAGTTCCAGGACAGCTGGGCTACAGGAAGACCCTGTCTCAAAAAGACCCCCCAAAAAATTTATTGAGAATTTTATACATGCATATAAGGTATTTTGATCAAATCCACGCCCATTCCCACCCCACTCCTCCCATACCTCCCCATCACTTTTTTTCTGATACTTCATATATTCTTTCTTTCCTTTTCTTTTTTCCTTCCTTCCTTCCTTCCTTCCTTCCTTCCTTCCTTCCTTCCTTCCTTCCTTCCCTCCCTCCCTTCCCTCCCTTCCTTCCTTCCTTCCTCTTTTTCTTTTATGGGGCTTTTTGCTATGCTGAGTGGTTAATTAAAAATGTGGTATATTTACACAATAGACTTCTATTCAGCAGTAAATGATGAAATAATAAAATCTGGATCTAGAAACTGTTATACTAAGTGAAGTAACACAGACTCAGAAAAATAAAAGACATATGCTCTCCCTCATTTGTGGATCCTAGCACCAAATCCTTTTAAATTCTATGTTCTTTTAATAGGATGATGCTGTACAGCAGTCTCTTTTGCATGAAATAACTACCATTGTCACGACTTCAGCTGAGCCTGATCGCTAAACATTGTCACAATTGGGCTTGTTGACAGTTGTGCTCCTTCATTAAAGGAGGAGCAAGCAGGGTCATTGGACCCTCACTGGAGTATCCAGCCACTCTTCCCAGCCAACTATATGTAATTTGGCCCTAATCACACATGGTCTCCTGGATTTGACAAGGGCTAAAGTATATAATCTGGGGAAAGCTACGAAGAGAAGGCTTGATCCATGCTGGGTAAAGGCTTTCCAGTGTGCATACCCTCAGGTCATACATACACCTCAGCAACCCCTCAGTCATCTCTGTAAGTAAGCTCAGTAAATTCATTGGTTTTCCAGGAAACCTTTAATTAAACATTGGTTTGACACTAGAACCTTAAGATAAGCATGGTGGCGCACACCTTTAATCCCAGCACTCAGGATGCAGAGGCAGGTGGATCTCTGTGAGTTCAAGGCCAGCCTGGTCTACATAGTGAGTTCCAGGGCAGCTGGGGCTACAGGGAGACCCTGTCTCAAAAAGAACGAAATAAAAAGGAAAAAAAAAAAAAAAAAAGGGATAAGCATTGCTTAGTATCCCCAGGAAAAGAATTCTCACAACAGATGGAAAATTTATTTTTTAATGTTATGTCTCATAATTATTAAAAAAGAAAAAGAGAATGTAAGAGATGTTAAAAGGACATGGGGATGGAGATATTTTCCTAACTATACAGAAAAAATGAGAAAGCCTATGAAAGTGACAAAGGTCTGTGTAGGTTATATATAAAGGATGAGACAAAAATAATATACACATACAATCTTAAAATTTCTAAGGCCATAGTTTAGTCAACTAGTTTAAGGAACAAAACTAGTTTAAGGTTTATCTGAGAACCTTTGGTTTTTGCCCAAGCTTTATCTATATAGCACATGGTAATTAAAACTACCAGATTGGTGGAACTAACCTTCTTGGATGTTTAACAGCCATACTTTGAGGCCTATACTAATCTGGTCAGAGGGACTTAAAGGACAGTTTTTTGCTCCTTGCCCTCCAAGGTCGACTAAGTTCCAGGGGATTACGGAGCATTTCTCAAAATGTCCTGCAACTGTGGTGAGTCACCTGTCCTCTTATTCAAGGAGGCCATAGAGACCCCACCAGATGGACTTGAACCAGCGTCTAGTCTACAAAGAGGAGGGTCAACTCAGAGGAAACATTTCCGTCATGCTTTCAAGTGATGCTGGCCATGGTCAAACAGGACATTTGACTTATCTTCACATAGGCAGAACTGGTAAAAGAACTGGTGGCTCCTCCCAAGCCCATGTGACCCCTGAGGAACAGATCCTCAAATGACCTTAAGAGTAAAAATAAATTGGTTTATTTGGGCCAACTGTATGGTCTTAAGCACCCAAAAGGAAAGTATAACCAAAGATTAAAGTGATCAGTATATTTTTTTAAGAGTTCAAGGGATTACACTTCCCAGACATTAGGCTTAAGTCCATATAAAATGTTATTTAGACAGTTATTTCACATTGATGATTTTGTTTCTAAGCAAAAAGTGATTCTTAGATGTAAGCCTTCAAATCTTGGTCTGCAATACTGTAGTGTCCACCTGCAGCTAAGGGAGACAACCCACTATTCTAAAATGATGGCTAAATTTGTTTTCACCCCCTATCTAGAAGCCTTTGAGAGGGAACTGATACTGATTCTATCTACTCCATCAGCTATCAAAATGCCTGAAAACAAATCCCGAGTCCATCACTCTCGAGTCCAGCCTTGGCGACAAAAGAAAAATGAGAAGGAACCCAATAGAGGGATGCTTTTGGATGCTCTCATCAAGAAATTCCAATAGACTCTGATATGAACATTTGAAACTTGCCCTGTTCTGACTTTTTTCTGTTCCCTGTCTAGAACTTGTAATGTTAACTACTCTTGCCTTTACTTCTCCTTCGCATCTCCTATTCACCAGTCAAGGACTTTCTTTTCACCCTCATAAGAGTTATGCAATTTGGGAGTCTTTTAGATAGACCCACTGAAGGGGTACTCCAATTGCCTCACCCTGTGTCCCTGTTCAACAAGGAAGAAGCCAGAGAGGTCTACGTCCCGATTCCCTATGGGCAATTTGGGAAACCTCTTCAGAAGATGGTGTGATAAGAATAGAAGGTAGGAATTGGCTAGGCAGTTAGGGTAAAAAGACCCCAAAGAAAAGCAGCCAGTTTCTTGGCTAAAAGTCAAAATGTCCTTGGGTCTCTTAGCAACATACTCTGTTCCTAAGGCCAAAAATGTCAAAAGTATTTGGGAGCTCTTATCTAATCCCTAAAAGATTTTAGGGTTACCTCTTCATTTTTGGGAGGCAAAAGCTGGCGGATCTCTGAGAGTTCAAGGCCAGCCTGGTCTACATGAGTTCCAGGCCAGCTGGGGCTACAGGGGGAGACCCTGTCTCAAAAAGACCAATAAATAAATAAATAAGTAAATAAATAAATAAATAAACTATTAAAAAAATGAAACAACCCTGTTGAGAAGGAGGAAAATGATTTAATAGCCATTTCTCCTAATATTTACAGATGATGAACAAGCATATGAAAAGATGCTCAACATCACTAGTTATTAGGAATCCAAACTATAAGGATGCACTAGGTATAGTAATGCACAAATGTAATCCCAGCACTCAAGAGCTAGAAGCAGGGGGCTAGACAGATGGCTCAGCAGTTAACAGTACTGGCTGCTCTTACAGACAACCTGGAGCGTGGTTCCCAGCATCCACAAGGCAGCTAACAACTGTCTGTAACTTTAGTTCCAGTGAATCCATCACTTTTTCCTGGCCACCATGGACACTGTATGCATGGGATACACTTATATACATAGAAGCAAAACATTCATACACATAAAAAGTAAAATGTTTTTTTTTTTTTTTTTTTTGGTCTTTTTGAGACAGGGTCTCCCTGTAGCCCCAGCTGTCCTGGAACTATGTAGACCAGGCTGGCCTTGAACTCAGAGATCTGCCTGCCTCGGCCTCCCGAGTGCTGGGATTAAATGTGTACGCCACCATGCCTGGCTTGTAAAATGTTTTTTTTTAAAAAATATTTTATTATTTTTATTTATTTATTATTTATTTACTTATTTATTTGTTTATTATTTTTTGGTCTATTTTTGAGACAGGATCTCTGACCTGGCATTCGCTATGTAGACCAGGCTGGCCTCAAACTCACAGAGATCTGCCTGCCTCTGCCACCCAAGTGCCAGGATTAAAGGTGTGCACCATCACGCCCGGCTTTATTATTTTTATTTTATGTGTATGAGTGTTATGCCTGCATGTAAGTAAGTGCACCCTTGTCGTGCAATGCCCACAGAGGACAGAAAAGACTGTTGGATCCCCTGAAACTGGAGTTACAGACAGCTGTTAGCTGCCATGTGGGTGCTGGGATTCGAACCTGGGTCTTCTTGCAAGAACACTCAGTGCTTTTAAGTGCTGAGCCATTTCTCCAGCCTGTAAAATTTATTTTTTAAAAAAGAGCTGGAGGCAGGAAGGTTAGGATGAGATCAAGGGTTACCCTCAGTCACAGAACAAGTTTGAGTCTAGCTTGAGCTAGAGTGAATTATAGGCCAGCCAGGGCTACATAGCAAGATCCTGTTTAGCGGGGGGCCGGGGAAGGCTGGCAAGATTGCTCAGCAGGTAAGATACTTGCTGCCAAGACTGAGGACCTGAATTTGATTCCTGGAACCTACATGGTGGAAGGAGAGAACTGATTCCCACAAGCTGTTCTCTGACTGTCAATTGCATGCTATGGCATGCCCAGGCCCCACACACATGCACAAAATAATTTAATTAAGTTTTTAAAATTTAGATGTAAAAAAGTTCTTTAAGGGGCTGAAGAGATGCCTCAGCAGTTAAGAACACTGACTGTTCTAGCAGAAGACCTGGGTTCGAATCCCAGCACCCACATGGCAGCTAACAACTGTCCATAACTCCAGTCCCAGGGGATCCGACAGCCTCTTCCAACCTCCGCGGGCATTGCATGACACGGGTGCACTTACCTACATGCATACAAAAAAAAAAAAAAAAAAATTCTTAAAAAAAAAAAAAAGCATGGGTCTGGAGAGATGGCTCAGCGGTTAAGAGCACTGACTGTTCTTACCAAAGACCCAGGTTTGAATCCCAGCACCCACATGGTGGCTAACACTTGTCTATAATTCCAGTTTCGGGATTCTGATACCTTCTTCTCTCCTCCATGGGTACTGCACAGCATGGGTATACTTACATACATGCAGACAATATACTCATACACATAAAATTAGATAAATCAAAAAAAAAAAAAAAGCAAACAGTTAAAGATGTAGTCTAGTTGACTCAGTGCTTGCCTAGCACACATGAAGCCAGGGTTCAACCTTCAGCAGTATACAAATCAGGCATGGTGGCACAAACAAGCAAGCAAATAAATTACAAGGAGACACCATTTCAAGCCCATCAGGATGGATACTTGGAAAACAAAAATGGAAAATAAGTGTTAGCAAACTGGAATCCTTATGACTGATGCTAAGATTAGAGAATCCAAAATTAAATTCACAAAAATTCATTTTACAACATTAAGGTAAATTTTGAAATGCAATTATTAAAGGAGCAAGAGTTGAAGAACTGTAAATAGTTCAGTTAGTAGACTGCCCAGCATGCATAAAGCCCTGGGTTCAATCTCCAGCACCACATAAAATCCATAACATTGGGTATAGTAGCACACTTGAAGGCAAGGGGATTAGGAGTTCAAGGCCAGCCTGAGGTACATGACATCCTGTCCTACCCCCCCAAAAAAACAAAATATATAATGAGAAATTTAAAGGCTAATGCTGTTGCTTTTCATAAAGGTTAATTTCATGGGACAGAAATAAAGATGTGATTTGGTCTAGCTTTACCACCTGGAACACCTCAGAATGACTGGTCTCTACATCTACTGCATGGTTCTCCACATCTAACAATGCCTTCTCTAAATCTTCCTGCCACTGTTCTGTTTCACTGAATTGTTTTCAGAAAGTAACTGGCCAGACTGCTTTTGCTTATTTACCTGACCATGGTAGGGCTTCCAGTTCACCCAGAGACACCTGAAATCCCAAAGCTCAGAGGCAGAACTGGCAGCAACTTAGTACTGACTCACTGTCAAAGACTACAAGACTCAGATACATAATAGTACTTCCTAGAGTGGGGATTCTGGACCCTCACTCTGGAGAAAGGCTCCTGCAGGCTTACCTGAGGCATTGTAGTCGATCCTCCACATTCGCTCAGACAAAGGTCGTTCTGGACATGGGATGAGGAAAGAGACAACAAACACCACAAAAAGGCAGACAAACAGGGAAAGGAAAAATGCAACTGTGCGGCATCGGGATAGTCGGGACTGCGGAGTTCTGCTTTTTAAGTTATCTTCTGTTTTCAACTGTTTTCCCACATTTTCCTGTGATTTTCTCTCTTCGTTCTTCAAGGGGTGTATTTCAGCTTCTAAATCCTTGTTATCCATCATTCTGAGTGCATTCCCAAGCTTAACTGTGGGTCAATGCACAAGAGAAGAAGTGTTAAGGCCAGCAGAGAGCTGTGGCATGTGGCCAATTCTATTGTTTTCTTTTGACAATTTAAAACAATTTTTATTAACTATTATTATCATTGTGTCTGTGTGGGTGCAAACATACCACAATATACATGTGGAAATCAGAAGACAGCTTTGTGGAGTCACTTCTCTCCTTAAACCTTTACATGGGTTCAGGAGATCAAACTCAGGTTGTCAAGCTTACATATCAAACACTTTATCCACTAAGTTGTGCCCCCCCCCCCCGCCTTTTGGTGTCAGGCAGGGTCTCACTATGCAGTCTGGGCTAGCCTCAAACTCACAGAGATCCTCCTGCCTCTGCCTCCTAAGTGCTGGTATTAAAGGTGTGTGCTAATATGCCCAACTTCACTTTGCATTTTGGAGACAGGGCCTTACTATGTAGCCCTGGCTAGACTCCAACTCAAGGCAATCCTCCTGCCTCAGCCTCCCAAATGCTGGGATAATACATGAGAACCACCATGCCCAGCTTTTGTTCTCATTCTTAGGTACTTGGTTACAACTGTCACTGTGGGCTACCTGTCCAAGAAATATAAGTTGTGGTATTCACTTGGGTAGCACATATACTAAAAAACTAGAATGATACAGAGATCAGCATGGCCCCTGTGCAAATATGACATGTAAATTCTTGTGCTCCATATTTTTAAAAAAATTTATTTATTATTTTTATTTTATGTGTATGTGTGTATTGCCTGCATGTAGGTAAGTGCACCCGTGTTGTGCAATGCCCATGGAAGACAGAGAGGCTGTTGGATCTTCTGGGACTGGAGTTACAGACAGTTGTTAGCTGCCATGTGGGTGCTGGCATTTGAACCTGGATCTTCTGCAACAACAGTGTTCTTAACTGCTGAGCCATCTCTCCAGCCCCTCAAGAAGGCTTTTAAGTAACAGAGAAAGGTAACTTGGTTGTGTAAAATCAGCAGCCAGGAAATTCTCCATCTCTAACACACTGGTATTTCTGCCCATTTCACAAGGGTACATGGTGACCACAACTGATTACAACAAAGCCCACATATCATTAACCAAGTCCCACCTGTGCATATGCCAGGCGCTCCTGAGTAGCCTCCAGCACAGATGGTAAAAGGGAACCCATCTGACTCTGGCGGACTCACAAGAGATCTGCTCTACAAGCTTCCTCTGAACTCAAACCTTCCCTCCAAAGGGGAAGGGATAGCAAAATGGAAACTTGAAGATTCACTAAAGTCCCTCCCCAGTTTTACGGAAAGAGTGAACAACTGCTGGGGGAGGAGACTCTGACTAGCCAAGTTGCTTAGAGAAGGTTCTCTGACCTGTCCAGCTGCCTGCAAGTTGCTTAGAGAGCTCTAGGACTGCAGTTTCCCTGAGTCATCACCTTGGTGGGTGGGCTTTTTTGGTGATGCAGCTCCTTTTGATGTTCCTGTTTGTAATCCCAACAAAACTTACTGGTTCACCAAACTGGACTTTGGTACAATCATTACTTTGGGCTATTGTGAACTCCCTTTTGGGGGTAAGTAGATGTGGTATGTTGTGTCTCCCCAGGAAAAGTCTGTCATACAAGATTTAAACTCTTTTTTAAAAGTTTGTTTTGTTCTTTTAAAGACTTTGTAGCCCTGGCTGAGCAGGAACTTGTTATATAGACCAGGCTGGCCTCCAACTCACAAAAGAATCACCTGCCTCTGCCTAACAAGTGCCAATTTCAAGAAAGCTTAAGTGAAAGTAGGTAATGGAGTCACTTGTAAGTATATGTAACCTGGCACAATGATTTGATTATGTCTCCCTTGCTTTCCTTATTGGTAAAGTTCACAAGTTTACTTTTGAAAACACTAAAAAAATTGTGGGTTTTTTTTTTTTTTTTTGCTCTGAAACAGGGCCTCAGGTAGTCCAGGCTGGTCTCAAACTATTTAAATAGTCAAAGTTGGCATTAAATTCCTGACCCTCCCTCACCCACCTCCCTATTGCTAGGATAACAGACATATGTCCCTATGCTCTGCTTATAAGACTAAAGAGTAAATTGTCAGTATATAAAGCACTTACCACAGTACCTAGCACATAGTAAGCATTCAAACACCAGTTTATGATTACAAATAACAACATAAAGGATTTCAAATTTTTTTTTATGTGTATTGGTGTTATGCCTGCATATATGTAAGTGCACCTATACCATGCAATGCCTACAGAGGCCAGAAGGTGTTGGATTCCCTGGAACTGGAGTTGACTGTTGTTAGCCACTATGTGGGTCCTGGGAATTGAACCTGGGTCTTCTGCAAGAGCAACCAGTTCTTTTAACTGCTGAGCCATCTCTCCAGCACAGTTTAATAACATAAGGGATTTTTAAAAAGGTTTTAAATACATTTGTGTGTGTGTGTGTGTGTGTGTGTATGCTTGTGGGAGTTGGTTCTTACACCACGTGGGTCTCTAGAAATCAAACTCAGGTTGTTAACAGCAAGTGCCTTTAACTACTGAGCCATCTCACTAGCCCTTATAAAGGATATTTAAGCAGGCCTCACGAGTAGAAAAAATGGACAGAAAATGTCCACAAGTGTGTAAGAACCTGAGTCCTGGCTGTGGAGAGATGATCAATGCCTATCCTTGCTAGGCTCCTCTTGCTGCTGAACCATGAGCAGATGTGGTGGGTAGATAAGGAATGGTCTCCTCAGAAGCCAAAATGGGGCTGGACATGGGATAATAAAAGTCAGTCAAATGGGGGCTAGAGAGATGGCTCAATGGTTAAGAACACTGTTTTTGCAGAAGACCCAGGTTCAAATCCCAGCACCCACATGGCAGCTAACAACTGTCCATAACTCCAGTCCCAGGGGATCCAACAGCCTCTTCTGTCCTCCATGGGAATTACATGACAGAGGTGCACTTACATACATGCAGGCAATGCAGTCATACATATAAAATAATAATAAATAAAATTTTTTAAAAAGTCAGTAAAGTGCTTGCCACACAAGGACCTAAATTCAATCCCTAGCACCACACAAAAAGTCAGGTGCACCAGTGTACACCTATAATCCCAGTGCTGGGAAGACAGAGATGAAGGAGTCCCTGGTACTTCCTGGCTAGTCAGTCTAGATGAATTGGTGAGGTATAGGTTAGTGAGAGACCCTTTCTCAAAATATAAGATAGAGTTGAAGAAGACACCCAGTGTTGACCTCTGGCCTCCACATGTGTATGTGCATACACACATACACACACACACACACACACAGAAATCAAAATAGAAAACACACTTAAACTTGATATAGTCATAGCATGGGGCTCCCATGTAGTATGAGACTATTTTCTGAGCCAGACAGACATCATCTATAGGAGTTCAGCTTTGCCCACTTGCAGATCATCACAGCTGGGCCTGCTGACTGTCAACATCCCTGACATCCCCACATAGGAGGGTCATCTGAGTACCCAGCTACTCCTCCCAACCTGTTGTATGCAATTCAGACCTAACTGCACATGGCCTCAGGGAGGGGCTAGGAGAAGGCTTGTTTATGTGGCTATAGAGAAGCCATTGCCCACTGCTGGGTGGAGACATTCCAGTGTGGGTGGAAGGGGGGGCACCCACACTTTTGTAAGTAACCCTTCATCTAAGCTCTATAAGTAAGCCCAATAAACTCACTGGTCCCAAGTGAACTTTGGTGGTATTGTATTTCAGTCTGTCCTTAGGACTAAGGGAGGAGGGGGTGGACAGGATGAACAGGGTGGACGTAGTTTACATCTCCCCCAGGGAAGGAGTTTTAGCAACACCCGATATATCTGCCAATCGTCCCTTCAGCCCTGACTTGCTTCTGCTGAATGTATGTAGGAACAGATTTCTACCTTACACAAGGCAAGATATTTGTTAATTGTATTTTTTTAGTTGTAATTCACATCAGCTACCTGAGAAGGATGGTAGGGATCATGCAATACAAATGGGTTACAACCTCAGTTTACCCAAAAGAGAAGTCCATAGTCCATGACTCACAGGGTAGATGAGGACATACCAGAGGACAGTCAGAGGTGCCATAAGCAAAATCCACAGCTTCACCTGTTCCAATGCTGAGTCAGGAACACATGGCCAGATAAGAGGTAGCTTTTTCTGTTGTGAACTTTTGTTTTCTGAATTCACCTGTTTTTCTTTGACTAATTTAGTAATAGAAATTCACTTAGAAATTTGTGCCTATTCCCACTAGAATGTTTTTAATTAATTACTTATTGTGGTACTGGGGATTGAATCTAGGCCTCATACAAGTTAGGTAAGTAGCAGATCACCAAGCTACCTCAGCTCTCTTATTTTTGAGAAAAGTCACTAAATTGAGCTGGCTAGTTTTGAACTCACTCTATAGCTGAGGCTGGCCTTAAACTTTCAATACTCAACCTCCTAAGTAGCTGGGATTATATGCCTCTGTCATCACATCTCACTTTAGAATGGCTTTAATTTTAAAAGTAAAATTTGTCATATAATGTTGGTGGGAAATTGTGCAGCTGCTTTGGCAATAGTCTGGCAGTTCCTCCTCTGTATATGATACAGAGATCACTGTATCATATAGCCGTTGCACTCTCTGATACATACCCACAAAAACTTAAAACAGATACTTGAGAACTGTAAAAAATGCTCAGCTTCCAAAAAGGAGAAATAACAAATAAATGAGTAAACAAAATGAGGCCCATTTGCTACTCAGCCATAATGAAGAATGAAGTGGGGTTGGAGAGATGGCTCAGGGATTAAGCACACTTGCTGTTCTTGCCGAGGACCTAGGTTTGTTTCCCAGCACCCATGCGGTGGCTCATAACCACCAGTAAGTCTATTCCAGGGGGCTCCAACTCCCTCTTCTTATCTCCAAAGGCTCCTGCACATACATGGTAAACTCAAGCAGGCATACACACTTAAACATAATAAATCTTTTTCTTTTTTTTTTTTTTTTTTTTTTTGGTCTTTTTGAAACAGGGTCTCCCTGTAGCTCCAGCTGCCTGGAACTCACTCTGTAGACCCAGGCTGGCCTTGAACTCACAGAGGATCCGCCTGTCTTTGCCTCCCGAGTGCTGGGATTAAAGGCATGTCCCACCACGCCCGGCTTTTTTGGGTCTTTTTGAGACAGAGTATCCCTGTAGTCCCAGCTGGCCTGGAACTTACTGTGCTGGTCTTGAACTCAGAGATCTGCCTGCCTCTGCCTCCCAAGTGCTTGGAACTAAAGGGGTGCACCATCACGCCCAGCCAAAAATAACAGCTCTTAAAAACAATAAGAATGAAGCATGGGGCCACATGCTTTAATCCCAGCACTTGGGAGACAGAAGCGGGGGGATCTCTGTGAGTTCAAGGCCAGCCTAGTCTATATAGCAAGTTCCAGGCCAGCTAGGGTTATATAATGAGACCCTGTCTCAAAAAGACAAAAAAGCACACAAAATGAAATAACCCAGACACAAATAAGTCAGTGTTGCATAGAGTATGACTCCACTTACATGAAGCATATCAAATAGCCGTATCTGTAAGGGCACAAAGTAACCAGGATTGCCAGATGGGAAAGATGGGGAGCAACCAATAAATATGGATGGGGTTTCCTTTTGATATGTGAAAATGTGGTGGTGGTAGTTGAAAATACTGTGAATGTGAACTTCATTAATGGAGAATTTTATGTTTTGTTCTTGTTTTTCTGAGACAGGGTCTGATTATACTATATAGCCAGGCTGGCTTATATTCTGTTTTTCACCACACACACACACACACACACACACACACAAATATCTGTGTGCATTCTCCTTGGTACTGAGGTATGAGTTTTCACTTCTTGAAGGTCAGGAAAGGTATTCCTATCAAAGTATCAAAGGTAATGAGTTGGGTACAAGGAAAATCAAACAGTGAGTCATGCTAGGCACCTAATTAAACCCAAGCACCTGAAACAGGTGGGGCAGTCAGTAAGGTTGTATGGAAAAGATAACAAGGGGAAAAGTCAGCAGTTCCACCTGGCAGTGGGTCAACATCAAGGCCCACGGGTGAGGCCTGGAGAACGGGAATGCTTTCTTCAGCAAGTTCCAGCCACCATGAACACAAGAAAGGGATATTTGAAATGCTTAAAGCTTACATTCTTTTTTTGGCAAAGGAAAGAAAACTGAATGAGAAACCAGAATGCTAACGTTCTGGATGCTATCTTTAAAGCACACTTATTTAAGAGCCTTCACACATCAGGCAGAAACTCGAGCTCTAAGCCTTGGCTGATTATCAACTGTTAGAAGCCAGAGCATCTTTCAGTGTTATAAGGCAAGCACCCCTAAACTTCACACACTAAGCCAGGTGTGGTGGCTCATATCTGTAACTTCAGAATTTGGGAGGCTAAGGCAGGAGGATTGCCACAGAGTTCAAGGTTAGCTTCAGCTACAGAATGAGAGCCTGTCTCAAAAACCACATGAAAAAATTCACACACCAGACATCAGTGAGGGCCCAGAAGTCTGAAAACATGCCCATCTGTCCTCAAGGTATATTTCCTAGACCTACCTGGTGGTGGGTTACCTGAAGGCGTTTTCAATAGAAGCTTCTGGCTGTCCACTGGGGCATCTGGTCACTGGTCTTTGACAGGGGGTCTGTGTCTTCATTAGCTGAGGCAGACCTAAGGAGTTGTAAAGCCTTTGGTAATTGAATTTTACTGCAGCAGGTCCTACCACAGCCTTGATTCTGTCTCTTATCCACACCAGAATCATCTGGGTGCTTACACAGTCCTGATGCTGAGCCCCACACCATCTAAGCACCATCTCTGGGTAGCGTCTTGGTCAGGAGCATGATCATCACAGCCAAGGGGAGAAGCACTGTTGAACGGCATTGCATGACACAGGTGCACTCACATACATGCAGGCAATACACTCATACACATAAAAATAATAATAATAACAAATATTAAAAAAAACAAGCTGGGGGCTGGAGCAATGGCTCAGTGGTTAAGAACACTGGTTGTTAATGAGACGGATGCACTTATATACATGCAGGCAATACATGCATACACATGAAATAAAAAAAATTAAAAAGTCAAGCTGTAAAAGTTATAGCTCAATAGCCGGGAGTGGTGGCACATTTAATCCCAGCACTTGGGAGGCAGAGGCAGGTGGATCTCTGTGAGTTCAAGGCCAGCCTGGTCTACACAGTGAGTTCCAGGACAGCTGGGGCTACAGGGAGACCCTGTCTCAAAAAGACAAAAGAAAAAAAAAGTTATAGCTCAAAATTAAAGAAATGGTAAACTCTTTTTATTACATTTATTTATTTATTTATTATTTATTTATTTATTGGTCTTTTTGAGATGGGGTCTCCCTATGGCCACTGTCCTGGAACTCACCATGTAGACCAGGCTAGCCTTGAACTCACAGAGATCTGCCTGCCTCTGCCTCCCAAGTGCTGGGACTAAAGGTGTGCGCCACCATGCCCAGCTTACATTTATTTATTTATTTATTTATTTATTTATTTGCACTCGTGCTATGTAGAGGTCAGAGGACAATTTGCAAGACTCAGTTCTCTCCTTCTATCATGTCAGTTTCAGCAAGGACTGAACTCAAGTTGACAGGCTTGGCAATAAGCACCTTTATCCATAGCCATCTCACTGGTCTAGGAATGTTACCCTCTTAAATGTACTTTGTGATTCATCATATGAAATCAGACCAAATGAGACAACTGTAGCAGGGATGGAATACTGGCATTTTCTGTTACTGGCTTCTGTTTTTGTTTTTTTTTAATTTTGTTATTTTTATTTTATGTGTATGAGTGTATTGCCTGCACATATGTGAGTGCACCCATGTCATGCAATGCTGCAGAGGTCAGAAGAGGGCTTCAGATTCCCCTGGAACTGGAGTTAAGGACGGTTCATAGCCACTATGTGAGTACTGGAAATCTAACCCAGGTCCTCTGCAAGAGCAATCAGTGCTCTTAACCGCTGAGCCATCTCTCTAGCCCCTGGCTTCTGTTGTTTTATGATACGGTTTCATGAAGCCCAGTCTGGCCTCAAACACATTGTATAATCAAAGATAGCCATGAACTCCAGATCTTCCTATTTCAGCCTCCCAAGTGATGGGATTACTGGTATACACCACGATGCTTTGGATGTTCTGTTTGAGACAGATCTATCTAGCCCAAGCTGGTCTGAAACTTGTGATCCTCTTGCCTCTGCTGCCCAAGCAGTGGGATTACAGGTGTGCATTGTTCCTTCTAGCAGTTATTCTGTCTTTTGATTTGGAGAGACCAATGAAATAAGAAGTACTGCTGCACACAGCCCTCACCTCTGCCACAGGACTTGGAAGCAGCAAGGAGAAACTCTAAATGCTCTTGAGTAACATGGGAAGTCATCTGCCTCAGGATGCATACGGAGTTCAGGAGACAACTTGTGGGAGTCAGTTCTTTCCTTCTACCATGTGGGTTTTGGGGGTTAAGCTCAGGTTGTTAGGCTTGGCAGCAGACACCTTTACCTGCTGAGTCACCTTTCCAGCCATTAGCCAGTGCTCTTGTGCACAGGGAGGAATGAAATAAGACGATTCAAAAAGCCAACCCATGGTTAGTAGCAAATTAATGCAGATATGTGACTTAATGAAATGAGCACTGGTTCCGCATGGGTACAGGGCTCTGGAGGAGCCCAGCCCTGAAGCCCCAAAGCAGCCCCGAGAAGGACCTTAGAAGACCTGGGCTGAGTCAGCTTGGGACCAAACCATAGTAAGCATGCTTGTGAAAGCCACCATTCTAACTGGGAAGCAAGGGTTTCCAAAACTGTGAAACAGTTACTAAATGTTTATGAAGGAATGACAAAATAATTTGTGAAAAGCTAGTTAAAAAATTGTAAGCCAGGTGTGGTGGCACAATTTGTAATCCCAGCACTTGGGAGGCAAAGACAGAGAGATAAGAAGTTCAAGGTCGGGGCTGGAGAGATGGCTCAGCGGTTAAGAACCTACACCTAGCACCTACATGGCAACTAACAACTGTCCATAACTCCAATCCCAGGGGGTCCTTCTGACCTCTGCCGGCATTGCACGACACAGGTCCATCTATCTACATGCAGGTAATACACATGCATACACATAAAATAAAAATAATAAAATTTTTAAAAAAAGTTTAAGGTCATCCCCTACTATATATGAGTTTGAGGCCAGCCTGTACTATCTATACGTGACCCTGTCTCCAAAACAAATAAGGGCTGGAAAATGGCTTAAAAGTACTTGCTGCTCTTGTAAAGGACCTGGGTTTGGTTCCCAGCACCCACATGGTAGCTTATAACTGTCTATAACTACAATTCCAGGGAAACCAATACACTCTTTTGGCTTCTGCTGGCATTGCATGCACAAGGTGCACTTATATACATACAGGCAAAACACTCATACACATAGAATACATATAAATCACTTTTTTTTTTTTTTTTGGTCTTTTTGAGACAGGGTCTCCCTGTAGCCCCAGCTGTCCTGGAACTCACTATGTAGACCAGGCTGGCCTTGAACTCACAGAGATCTGCCTGTGTGGTGGCGCACATGTACATACAATAAATAATTTTCAATGCGGTAAAGCATTTTATCTGCAGGATTTATTCTTGTGTCAATCAGGAATTTACTCCTGTGTTTCTACAAGATGAGCTGGAGAATCATGTTTACTCCCACAGTGCAAGGCAAGAAATAAGAACAAGTACTCAGCTGCTTGAGGGTGTTCATATGAGGCCCTGCCATAGGTTGAATGTTTGTTTGTCCTGCCCTGGGGTGGGGAGGCATGGACAGCATTATCACCCCATTTTACAGACAGGACACAAGCCTAGAAAGTGGGAGTGACTCACTTGCTGCCCATAGCCACCAGCCAGGAAGCAGCACAGGCTAATAAACATGAGCCAACCCTGGGTCATCTATGAGAGCAGCCAGTGCCCTTAACTGCTGAGCCATCTCTTCAGCTCTTAAAAAAAATTTTATGCCAGGCGTGGTGGCACACACCTTTAATCCCAGCACTTAGGAGGCGGAGGCAGGTGGATCTCTGTGAGTTCGAGGCCAGCCTGGTCTCCATAGCAAATCCAGGACAGCTGGGGCTACAGGGAGACCCTGTCTCAAAAAGACCAAAAAAATAAAATAAGATTTAAAGATAGGGCAGGAGAGGTGGCTCAGCAGTTAAGAGCACTGACTACTCTTGCAGAGGACCTGGGTTCAATTCCCAGCACTCACATGGCGGCTAACAACTGTCCATAACTCCAGTCCCAGGGGATATGATGCCTTCTTCTGAACTCCACAAGCACTGCATGACAAAGGGTGCACTTACATGCAGGAAATACATTCATATACATAAAATAAAAATAATAAATAAAACATTAAAGAATAGTAAAGAGACCGGGCGTGGTGGAGCACGCCTTTGATCTCAGCACTCAGGAAGCAGAGGCAGGTGGATCTATGTGAGTTCAAGGCCAGCCTGGTCTACATAGTGAGTTCCAGGACAGCTGGGGCTACAGAGAGACCCTGTTTCAAAATGACCAAAAAAAAAAAAAAAACCCAAAAAAATGAAACAAATGAGTGGAGGGGGATCTGGAGTTGTAGCTTGGAGACAATGTATGCCTAGCATGCTGTGGATCCTGGGTTTAATCCAACTGTACCTCCCAAAATAAAAAAAAAGTGAGGATTCTCTGTCCCTCAGTCTACGTCTGGGGGCTGAAGTGAATGTGAACACAGTCACAGAGATCTTTGGAATACAGGTTTAGATATAAAAACTGAGTACAGCCTTGTAAACAAAAGCAAGGAATTAACCTAGAAGCATCATCATCAGTTACTAAGGAACTCTATGAGGCACCTGGCATGGAAGCGTTAATAAGGCTGTTTAAAGTATGACAAGCATGTTTTCTCAGTAAATCCTGATGAGACATGAAGAAAGGATTTAAAGATTATGCTGTAGTCAAGATTATGGGATAAAATGACTGCAAGTAGTGTAGAAACATGTTCCTTTCTAAAGAAGGATAGAGGCCAGGCACGATTGTATTCCATGTAATCCCAGCACTTGGGAGCCCTGGTTGGGAGGATTATAAATTCAAGGTCATTCTTGGCTACATAGCAAGCTTGAGACCAACTAAATACATGAAACTTTGACTAAAAAATAGAAGAAAAGGAGCTGGGTAGATAGCTCAGTCAACAAAGTACTTGCCAAACAAGCATGAGGACTTGAGTTGGATCCCCAGAATCCATGTAAAAAGCTTAATGTGGTGTTCCCTTGTTGCCCCAGGACTGGGAAGGTAGGTTTTTGGCTAGCCAGCCTAGCTAACTGCAGATCCCCAGGTCCTAGTGAGAGACCTTATTTTAACAAAGAAGGTGGACAACGACAGCTAGAAGCTGACCTCTGGTTTACACACACACAGGCACTGTACTTGTATACACATGAACATGAACACACAGGCAGGAAGGGGAAAAAAGGCTCTAAATGCTTCATCACGAGTATGCTTGTTTTATTTTCCTTATTTGTATCTGCAATAACTTTATTTTTTCTTGTTTTCTGTTTTTATTTTATGGTTTTTTTGTTTCAGTTTAAAAAAATCTTATTTTATGTGTATGAGTGTTCTGCCTGCATGTATATAAGTGTACCCATGTCATACAATGTCTGAGGAGGCCAGAAAAATATGTCAGATCT